TAACTAAACATATGGATGTGGTAAATGAATGCTAGGGAGGCATTATTGTAATTAAGGATAGATCAAGAATAAATCTACATTATGATGATGAAGATCAGTAATAGATATATAATTCTTGCATTACGGCAAATTGGCACGTGTGGGGATTGCTTTAATACTTCGTAGTGTTCGTTTCTGTCTGGCTGGTCGTCTTCCGCTCGACCGGTTTCTCTGAGATCGCGTTTAAAAGGAAACCCGACGTCGCATTCCACTCAGGACGGACACCCTGACATAGGAACCTGCTGGTCGTACCGATAATGTGTACATTTGCTTATGAAAAAATTCGCAATTGATGAGACTTCTTACAAAAGAAAATCGAGACTTTTACGCAAATATGCAACCGACATTGAGAGTTTGACATCATAGAAGGGCACATTAAATGCCGAAGCAGAATGGATGGAACACTTGTTCTTTCGTTGGTTGTGTACCCATTAGATTAGGTTATATGGGGGGTTCAGAAGTCAACTGGATCAAGTCCTAGAAGATAATTATTGAGAAAATGAGAGTTAAAGTTTTTTTAATGTTATTTAATTAAAATGAAACAAGCTGGAGAAGAAAACTTGACACAGTTCTTTATTACATTTGAAATTGTATAATGACAAACTAAAATAACTCAAAATACAACTGTGGTCATTTTTAAGAATGTTTGTTTATACTTTTTTGGACTTGAATCACTAGTTTATCTCTGAAAAAATTTGAAATTTTAGATATAAGTTGGTTCATCGGTACATTCTTCTTCGTCATTAAGGGATTTGTTGACTTCATATTGCCCATTAGCAGTGTTTTCTTTGATTTTTATAAAAATTATGGTACATAGGTGGGATAAAGGGAAGATCCTTCATGTGTTGTCCTTTAAAGTCTATATGAAATGACAAGATTTTTCTTCCTCTTTCTTCCTCATACAGTTTTATTCAGATCAACATGTCAGATATCTAAGTATTTGTAAGAAAAGCAGCCTAACTTATTGATGTAGTAATAGTGAAAACAATGATAAATTAAACTATACTTTCAGAATCGATAGAATCAGACCTTTCAGATGGCTGATAATCTGATTCACTTGGCGCAAAGGGTTCAGATTTTTTGTTTCATTGTCATCCATTTTATCAAAAAAATAATTTCTTTAGCTCTAAACTTTAGCACGTGTGTTAAAATCGCGCACAGCGTTAAATTTTATGGACTTGATCCAGTTCACTTCTGAAAGCCTTCAACAGAATATTCAGAAACCAAACAGAAACAGGCTATAGCTGCTTAATGCGTGAAGCATGCTTTGATTCATTTCTCGACTGAAAGAAACAATATCTTATAAACGTCAGAATATATAGGGGTGAGCCACTTTTGAGACGCACCCGGTATAAGTTTGATACCTTTCAAAGTAAGATTGTTGAAAACGATTATAGAAGTTTTGCATAACGTATAACTGGTTCTGGTATTTTTTATTCTATAATAAACCTACGTTGATGGTATTTAAAAACTGCGGGACTGTTAAAAAGATATGGTCCCTTGGGTCGGAATGGTTTTATATATCGAACGTTAAATTTTTCGGCATTTAATTTTGGGTTAAGAGGATCCCAATGACTTGACATAAAACGCCACTATATTTGGGAGCATAATACATACCGCCGGTTCGGTATTCTCTTTCTTTTAAAGCTCTGGTCTCTGGTATATAAAAACCGTATAGCTTTATGATCTTTAATTTTTTGCACGAAATATTTCGGTAATGCAAAGCCAAGGAAGCCAATTCTTGCTTACCCGATTTGAGCCTCTCACAAGTATCAAATTTTTTCTTTAACAATCCGCTCGATTTATTTTTGTCTGCAATCTTACATAAACACAGCCGGTATGATAAGTTATTTAAGAAGAATATTATAAACGAAGTTGCCAAATAATTATTACGGCGGAAAAAATATTATTTTTGATTATCATTCACTTAAGTATTTAATTTTCTTTCCATCAGATACTATGTTTATACAACAATTTCTTTGATAAATGCGAAGTAAAACTTGAGGAATCAGGATATTAAAAACAGAAAATAGTCAAAAAAATAAAAGAAAAATAATAGTCAACTGTAATAGAAACCAGTCGAATAATCAAACCGTACCAAGAAAGGTTCTCTGCTATGTTGGAACTAATACTACACTTATACCTACTAATTAGAAAAAAATGGCGCCGGGAGGCACGTTTAGCTGCCCATACTAAAATATGTTAATACAAAGTTGGTAGGCAGTTCTTTTAGTTTCAAAGTAAAGGAATTTTTTCAATTTTTTTTATCTGAAAAACTGCGACTTTGACTGATTTTGATGTTATTCCAAATTTTGTTGCAAATATTATTCCTAATCTTAAATTGAAAACCGCGTTTCGCTAGCTACTGTAATTTTGGAGTTAGGATTTTTTAAAATTTTTTACCCCGTCCCATACCCTCTTACCAACCCCCCACCCCCCACCAAAACTAATGGCCAGATTCTCGGGTGCCACAGTATTTTTGTGACAAATTTGGTTAAAATCGGTTTAGCGGTTTTTGAGTTATCGTGTTACAGACGGACACCATGAAAATATTTTGTATTTAGGTCATTTATGACCCAAATATCTCATTTTGAGTGAAATTAAAAAAACTTTTTTTTTGCCGATCTTAATAGCCTCTACCATACCTGTTGGTATGGTCGGCTAAAAAATAGTTCACTTACAAATCTCTATTACATTTTTCCAAAATACTTACTCTACAACCTTTATAAAAGCTCTTAACGTGTTAAAATCTTATATTGTGAAAAAAAAGAGTGTGCAATCAAGCTGATTAATGAGCATCTAAAGAGGTTTACTGAAAATTTTCCAATAAACTTGCTTAAGCCTCTCTTATCCAAACTGGTGTGAAATCTGATAAACCTTACATTTTTTCTTTTTTTGTTAAAGATAAAAGACAACGATGGTGTAATATAGGTAGGAAATATTTTGAATTTGTAGAGTAGATATATTTTTTCTCGAACTAGATAAGTTTTTCTCAGTAAAATGTTGATATAATGTCTCTCATTAATATTAAGAAACTAAACTAAAATTAGCTGAAAAGAAAAACAATGTCTATGCCTTTGTAATGGGTGTCTTTCTGTATTTTTGAACGAAAATCGCCATAAAACAAATACTTCAAAAATGCCATATGTGTTTTATGTCAAAAGTCACAGGTTTCAGAATTCGGAACCCACGCAAGCAGTTTTTTCAGTAGCTCTATACTAGACACAAATTTGACGAACTACTACAAGACACTTAAAAGCTTCAAGTGGTTTACTACCCTTGTCGTCAAAAGCAAAACAACACAACAACAAAACTCGCCTCCTTAACAACACTTTAAGGGCCATTACTACCGCTTTCCCGTTCAAAATATTCTAATAATGTTGTGATCAGTTTTATGCAACGACTACTAAGCTATCTTGTACACTTTCTACTAAAATATGTTCTAAAAAGAACAATGTTCGACTGCAAGGTCTGCTAGTAATCATTTTTAAGCTTAAAGTATAACAAAATTCATTTAAACCAAAAACTCGTAATACAAAACTAAAGTGTCAAAACGAATGACAATGTCAGGAAATAAATAAAAAAATGTGGCAACTTGACTTTTTTTACAGCAGAGCTACCACCTGAATCCCCAGCGCTAAATTTAAATTCCAGTTATTCAGTGATACGCCTAAAGGTAGTATCAGACATAGCTACTTTTGTTACGCAGCAAATTAAAAAACTGCGCAACTTGATCCGCTGCAAGTGTGTATACCTAGGCAACCTGCAACGTTGCGATCGCAGCTTGGTTGCGTAGGCTACTTTTTTGTTGCGCGCAGTTTAAGAAATAGCCGTGTGTGAACAGTTGTTGAGGAAGATTGCAAGTGCAGCAAAAGATTACTAATTTACTAATAATCTAAAGAATACTAATTTGTTTATTTATATTATATATACCCTACCTTTAACCTTCTTAGCTCCATCTACGGTAACGTGGATGAAGCAAGCAAGATTACTAATCAGTTGAAACTTTTACTGCGGACATCGGTGCAGTATTCTGTTGGTATGCCCGAAATGTATACACTTTTTTTCAGTTAACTCCAGAATTTATATGTAGGTATTTAGTAAAGAATTGACCGACAAATTGCGATGTCGTCGAAGTCAAAACAAGCGATTTGGAACAAAGAACAAGTAAAATGTTTAATATAGAAGCGGTAGAAGCAAGGGAGTGTTATGGAACGCAAAAAGTCCATTCTATCACAACCAAACGAAAAGACCAGCCGCTATTTCGGAAATTTCTTCTGAATTACATACGTCCGATGAAGACATAAAAAAGAAAATTCACACGTTTCGTGCACAATATTCGAAAGAACGTTCAAAAATGAAAAGTTCCAAATCTGGTTGCGGAGCAGACGAAACCTACAAAACAAAATATGCTACCAAAATATGATTGAAAAGTAGCGCTTTGGTGTGAACATATGAAAAGCATGTAGTGTCGACCTGCAACTTTTTTAGGCAGCTGCTGCATAAAAACTGCGCGTTTTGGGCTATTTTCTGCTCGTGTATAAACACTGTATGCAACTTTTGCAGCGGCTGCAAAAAAATTGCGCAACAAAAGTAGCTGTGTCTGATACTACCTTAATATGTCCATATAGTTGGCAACAATGAATTTAAAAATTGCTCCTTCTATTACGTAACTAAAAATTTAATTGTTATCGTTATCGCTTATATATGAGGACATTCTTGTTCTTATTACATGCATTAAATCGTTTCATTGTACGGCAGTACAATAGGTTCGGTTTTGGCACTAAATCAATCAGAGTTCGAGAACAACGAGAAAAAAAAACGCCAAACGCAAATAAACGAACATCGAAAAGAAAGCAACCGACCGGCTAATCTGTCAATGCGAGGCCTCAAATTTAAAGCGAGATCGCCCGGGGCGCCGCTTCGACCGTTCCTTAATGGTACTTCTTCTCTGTTCCCAGAATTCCAATTCTCGAGGTACCACCCAAGTATAGTGGCCTGTGCGAGCATATCCTCGGCGCTGCTGGGCCTCGGCTGGCTGGCCAAGAGCAAGTGCGGCCCCGACGCCCTTCTCGACCAGCTCACGGAGATCACCAACATCGAAAAGGTAAGGTTTATGCACACTCTCTTTGCTGTTCTTTTTTCTGTCTCGCCCAAAAATTCGTTAAATTGGTCTGGTCTTACCACTGATCTTGGACTACTTTTCTAAGCACAGTCGAATTATGTTATTATAAGCACGAAGGGATAGAAAAAGATGAGCGCTATTGAATACAACTGAATAAAAAACCCTCTAATTCAGAAATATGTTGTATTGAATGTTAACAAATATTTGTTCATATACCATAAACGTATTTATACAGGGTGAGTCTTAAATAAGTTCAAATATTTTCAGGGCTGGTAGATCTCGATAAAAGAAACATATTTTCTCTTTACCATTTTTCAGATAAGTCCAAAATAACCGAGTTGTTTAAGTTTGAAAATTAAAAAAAAATATTTGACTTTTTAAAAAAAAAATTGATTTTTTGAAAAAATGTTGAGTGCCACCGGATTTTTTCTGTATTTGCATCCCTTTTATTGCCGTAACCATAGAGTAAAGCCGTAACTATGGTAATATCTGAGATTAAGGAATTATACCGTGGGAAAATTTGCGATGAACAGGTAGTTCTAAAAAGTTTTCGAAATACATACAGGGAAATTAAAAGACAATGCACGATTTTCAACATCTTTTTTTAGCGAAATAAACCTCATAGACGTATTCCTGGAGTCGAAATATACCACCCCTGAAAATATTTGCACTTATTTAAGACTCACCCTGTATAGGAATGCATTATTTATGGCTAAAAATACATATGTATGTACATTCAGACATAGGTAAATTTATGTGTCCAGCATCACTTATTTAGTTATCGTTAACTAGTAACATATAAGGGAAATTAAAATAACTTTGGTTGCACATCATAATACGACCACCAGCAAACTCCATAAGATGACGCATGGTATCATTGATGATGTGCACCCAAAGTTGTTTTAATTTCCCTATTCATTTAGATGAATATTTTTTTTAATTTACTAAATATAAATCTAATGAATAACTTCAGAACTTGAAAATAATTTACAACGATTTCTCTTGGTTGACTTACCTATAAATATAGTTTATATCAAATAAATTTTAGTCACGTGATTAAGCTTGCCCAGAACAGCGTTGCCAACTTTTACATATTTTCTTTTTAGGAAACAAAAGTAAATTAAACAAACAAAATACAAGAAGCAGAAGAAGGGGCCAAAAAAGTATATTAATTATAAATATATAAACAGTTATTATTTACTTGTACAAAACTCACCTCCTTAAAGGATATATAGGGCCATTACTATCGCTTTCCCGTTCAAAATTTTCTAATAAAGTTACCATGCTTTTTTGCGGTTATTAATCGGCTTATCTTGTACACTTCACACTAAAAGAGGTTCTAAAAAGAGCAATGTTCGACTGTAAGGTCTGCTAGTAAAAATTTTTAACCTTCAAGTCTCACAATACAGTTCAATAATTTAAACCAAAAAACCGTAATACAAAACTAAAGTGTCAAAACGAATGACAATGTCAGTAAGTAAATAAATAAATGTGGCAACTTGACATTTTTTACAGCAGAGCTGCGACCTGAATATAGCGGAAAATTTAAATGTCCGTCAGTCAGCGCGGCGCCAAATAATATGTCCATGGTTGGCAACAATGAATTTAAAAATTGCACCCTCGATTACGTAACTAAAAGTTTATGGTATAGAATATATATTATGTTTTTCTTAACTTCTATCACTCTGTACATTATTGAAAATCACGCACAATTAAATAGTATTAAAAATAAAATCTGGAAACAAAAAAATTAGGTTTAAGTTAATATAATGTGCGAGTTCGTTATACCGTGGATACGCTACTGTATAATCCAATAAAACCAGTATCACCTATTAGAATTTTATATTGAATTACTTTTATTAAACAAGTATTTCTTGTAACCGGAACGTCAAAAGATATATTTCTGATTTTTTATGTTTTAAAATTATTAATGCGTTTCTACACTTCATTCAACTCCGATGCTCACTTAACTGGTTATCAAAGTAAGCGCTGAATTCATTCCAAAAAAATGTATTAAAACACGAATTTAACGAGCTTTCAGTAAAATATTAAGTCGATATTTTCTGCTTATTAAGTTCAAAGAAACTGCATTTTTCCATAACAACAGGAAATGTTTTACCCACGCTAGTGTAGAAATAAAAAATGGATGAAAGCTATTTATCGCTTTTTTCCATTAATTACTGCGATCTTACAGATCTATTGTGCGTTCCCCTTTCTTGAGTTATAACTCATAATACAATCTCAGGGCTTGAACAAAAGCCAGTACCTGAAACGGCTCCACAGAGTCCAGCTCTCTATCTTCGACATCAGGCTATTATGGCCAACAGTTGTCGTCTCGGCGCACCCAGTGATAAGGTGTTCTGGTGTTTCCCCATTTTCCCTACATAATCTACATTCGCAGTTTTTTCTCAGCTTTAATCTACTGAGGTGTTCGTTGTGGACACAGTGTCTTGTTAGAAACCCCGTGACAATCCGAAGATTGTTTTTACTTAACTCAAAGAAAATCTTTGAATATTTTCTCGGTCGTAAGTTCTTTTCCAGACAGCTACGGGGAACAACAACAATGACCGATTTTTGTTCAATGACCAATCTTCAACAAGTTCAAGCACTCAGGAAATAAATTTACTTTCTAAAAATTCAACTCACCTGTCATCGTCTGGAATTAATTTAACCAATTGTACTGATATTATAATTAATGTTTACAATAAATAAACGTATTTAGGTACCTTTTTTGCATGTTTCTTATTTTAAAATTTGCTTGTTATTATGAATTCATAATAGAACTAGTGCTGTTATGAAAGCCATAATGACATCCAAATGACAATGTTAAATTTGTCATAATGACATTGTCGTAGATTATAATCATATTATAATTTATAATGATTAATTGGCATATTTGTCAATAATATTATTTGACTGCAATGGTTTTGAACTGCGAATATATCGACCACACAAACATTCCTTAAGGTCTCTGTCTTTCTTCGGTTGTCGAATATATCCGTCCGGTGGTTGTTGTGGGCGGTACTTTCCAAGAACAGCAAACCAGTCGGCGGCGAATGCGTGCTTTTGAACCGAATGGTACTACTATTTCATTCAGAGCAAAGAGTTCGCGTTTCAGCTCTTATTTAGCATCTCACATTCCTACAGATGTTTATTCAGAATCCGTTTGCGGATATGACGACATCAATCACCTTTTCAAAGAGGGATAATATGGAAGTGCTTTTTTGTTTTTCTTGTATAGCTTAAAGTGCTTAAAGAAATGCCATATACAAGGTGGTCCGAACTGTATTCCGGAAACTTCGGCAGCATATTCTGCAGAGAAAAATATGTAAAAAAGTTCGTATAAATGTATGTTTTAAAATGCTTAGTTTCAGAGATACAGGGTGTAAAAGTTTCATTTTTAGTTGGTGTCTGAGAGTTTTTCGACATGAGAAATTTGATTTTAGGTCATACATTTATAGAAGTTTTTTACTTATTTTTATCTGCAGAATATACTGCCGAAATTTCCGGAATACAGTTCGGACCACCCTATATAATTAAATTAAGAATTGACTGATTGAAAAGGAATCTCTTCCATTTTGCTTCTTATATAAAGGAATTTTCGCCTCTAAAACCAACAAATTTTTAGAAAAAAAAACTAAAATCGTTTAAAATTCTGAAAATTTGATTTTTTTTGGAAATTTTCAAAGTAAAATAACTCGGTTATTTTGGATTTATCTGAAAAACGGTAAAGAGAAAATATGTTTCTTTTATCGAGATCTACCAGCCCTGGAAATATTTGCACTTTTTTAAGACTCACCCTGTATGTAGCTGCATTTTTATTAAAAATTTCTTTAGATTAAATTTCTCATTTTGATATATATATATATTTGTCAATCCCGGTTATTAAAATGCCCAAATTATAGTTCTAATCCCGGAATTTCAAAACGGGATCCCAATCCCGAAAATCGAAAACCCTAGTTGTATTTTTTTTATATTGAATAAAAATGATTTTTAAAATACGAGGAAAAATAATTTTTTGGACATTTCGCACTTATTCATTTTCATTATACACACTTACTCATTTGTATGGCATATTAAATGTAACGTGAAATAAAAATAAAAAATTAGCTACTTGTTCGTCATTCGCTTGGAACTCGGAATTGACCTATAGCGCTGAGTGATAGGCGCCGTCAGTTTCAAATAAAGCCATTATTTAAAACACATAATAATTTTTATGATGCATTGAATAAAGGCGCCGCAAAAGCAACCGTTATCGTGCACCGGATACGGCTGTAGGTAAATAAAACGGCGAAACTCGAAATCCATATTTCCCAGCTATGCGATAGGTCGCGGGTACTCGCTTTTATGATAAAATTCCCGGAAAGTAACGATATAGTTTAGTTTATAATACATTTACATACGTAGAAATCATTACAATATTACCAGACACTGGCAAGTTGGAAGCCTTATCTTACTCGTTTTATTCTATTGCAAAAATTCTATTTCGTTACTGGATTAACAACCAACAAGCAAAATAACATTGTAAAGCTTCGTTCAGAACCTCGCAAATAGTGGAATAATTTAGTGGTTTCAATTAATCTTCATTCAGAACCTCGCAATTAGAAGAATAAATTAGTGGTTTCAATTAACTTTATACTTTTTAGTTTACGATCATGCACAATGTTTAAAAATACAATTAAAATTATTAAAATACCCTAGCAATAGCTTGCGTTAGTCAGTTGTATTCATAGAGAAAGCCTCAACTTTTGATTTCTAACTTTCAACGTACTTGTATAACTTTCAACGTAACTTTCAAAATTAGTGCTAGACGAACGTCAAAATTAGTGGTAGACTCTTTCAAATGTCTACCACTAATTTTGACGTTCTGAATGCTTACATTGAAATTAAAGGAACAAACTTCTACGCTAATCGAAACCACTAATTGCGAGGTTCTGAATGAAGCTTTAATAGACCCAGGTAAGGTACCTTACCTATTTATC